GAAGGAAGTGACAAAAAAAAAAAGTCATTTTTTTTTTTAAAAATAATTTTAATATCAATGAGAATGGGTATATATTATAATATAGGATATGTAAATATTTATTTCATAAGCATACAGTTTTGTTTATTTCATAAGCAGGCAAAAGTATTATTTGTTCTCTATGTTAAGCCAGTTTTCGTTTTATTTCCAGTTTCTGTTCTCTCTCTGTCAACTCTGTCACCTGTTTATCCAATCAATAATTTAACATTTTGCAACGCATCAAAAATTAATTCCATTTCATAATTTTGTTTTCAAATTTTTATCATTTTCTTTTTTTCAAATTTGTTCTAACTAATTATTAAGCTATCATACTGTTTTATCATTTAGTATTTTCATTTGCAAAAAAAAAAAAACGAAAAGAATGTTTGAAATTTTATGACAAAAAAATTTTTTGATAGAAAAAGGAAGAAATGAGATAGAAAAAAAAAACAAACTTAGGATGAATTCTAATTTAAAGTTTACTTTTGTAATGATATCATTGTTACATAATTAATTACCAAAAGTTTAGCATACTCTTAGCAAAAACGAGGACGAAAAATTAAATTTTAAAAATAAAATTTTAGATTTAATCGATTATTTGCTAAGATATTATCATTTTTTCATTTATCCGTCAAAAAAATTATAACATTTATATTGGAATTTCTAAAATTTCATTAATGATTGAAATGATTTCATTTAAAAGAACAACAAATACAACTTTTAATTATTTTTTATTGAATCTTTATAATTTAGTATTACATTTCGAATGAGATATTTCAAAATTTTTTTGTTTTTTTCACAGATTATAAATTATTTTTAATGAAATTCAAATTAATTTATCATTTTTATCGTCCACAAAATTTTCATTATCAACATATGATATATTTGGAGTGAGAAGAAAGTTATAAATTACCATATTTAAATAATATAATCGTATTTGTGATGACCCAAAATTGGCATTTGTTTCATTTAAAATTGAATTATTAATATTAGAGAAAAGATATATATATATATATGTGTGAGAATAAATTTTTTATCGTTCATCCAATTAATAAAGCGAATTATTTGATAATGAGTTATTTTTCTCATTTCATTGTTCACTACTTTTAATTAAAAATGTGTAATTAATTACCCACCCTTTCATCTCAATTCATTGTTTAATACTCAATTCTTATAAATTAAAATTTTTGAAATGTACCATCTATTTTAAATTTACCTTAAAAATCTATTATATCTATAATTTTTTATCAAATTTATATATGCTTTTTTGACTTGGCCAAATAAGAATACTTATGCATGCATACATTTATTTTCATTAGGCTCTTAAAAATCTTTGCTAAGTAAATGTGGCCAAGAAAAAAAAAAAAGATCAGAAGTGAGATGAAAAGTGAACGAGAAAATAAGAAAATGCAAATTAATGCAAAAGTAAAGTGGCAAATTTTAAAGGTTTAAGTAGTTTTAATATTAATTTCATTATTAAATAATAATTTTAAGTGTATAACTTTTATTATTAGATAATTAAGTAATAAATATAGGTTGAAATGTTAAAAAACGATAAGCGATAATATAAATTTAGGTATTTGATAATAAATAGTAATAAAAATTTAAATGTTAATTAAACAATTGATAAAATAAGCAAATAGTAATTTCATTACTAAGTAAAGTAGTAAAACAAATTTCGGTTCAAAAGTTTTAATGCTGAATGCTAAAATTTAAAAATCCAAAAAAAAAACTTACTTGTCTATTTGTGCCAATAATAGCATAGCGGAAAATTTAACTTGGCCATACATTGGGTGCCAACCATGAAGCTTTTCATTAGCCTATGATTTTAGCTTTGCTAATTTCTAACGTTTATTTACTTTACCACTAATTAAATTTTCGCTAATTTAATTTCTATTATTAGTTATTTCTCTTTTAACGAATCGCTACAACTTGATTGTATGGAAAAACTTCGGAAAATCTGTTTTTTTTTTTTCTTTCTTCTTTAAGAAATCTTTTACAATTTTTAAGAAAATCCTTTTTTTTTTGAATGAAATTTTTAAATTAAATAATATTAAATACTAAATTATATTATTTCTAATATTTTTTTATAATATGAAAATAATGCTACTACTAAAATCAAATTGAATGAATGTTTCATTGACATTAATTTACAATCTTAAATATCAATTAATTACTTTTGATACTTATTTTGCACTTGGTACGATTTAATATTTATAATTTACATTGAATAGAAATATTTCGAAATGTTGAATTGATATTGAAATTTGAATTTCAAATTAAAATTGAAATGTTTAACTTTTCCATTACCATTTTTTAAATATTTTGTTTCTTTTTTTTACTTCTTAAAAATAAATATATTTTGCTAAGAAATTTTGATGACAATTTTAATTATCGTTTAATAAATAAATGTCAAAATATCTCTTTTTCTTTTCTTTTCTTTTTTTTCTTTTTTTGTTTTTAAACTGTTCAACCAAAGTAACAGGAAATAAGTTCATCTTAATTTATTTTGAAATGGAACTTTGAACTTTAAAAAGTGCATTTCTTTTTTTCGCCTAATTCATCAAAAGGATTAAG